CATGGAAAAAAAGCTGAACGCCTGACCTGTTTTTTTTTTATATTAAAGTCCTAAGCTAAAGCTCTAGGTCTACTATCGGTAAAAGACTGGTGGAGCCGGCGGGGATCACTGCTTACAGGCCCAAGTCATTCTAACCGCTGGACTCGCTACCCAAATAGTAGGTAGTAAATTACAATGCAGACAACCCCTACTCCAACTCCTAAATCAGAAATCACTACTTTTCCCCCTAACTCTAAATTACTGCAGTCTTTCCTGAGAGAATTGACACTTCTCGCCTCGTTTCATTTCGTGTCATGCGTTGTGGCAATGACTAGTTTATCTGATCCCCGCTGAGAGCAGTGGATGAGTGGCCAGGTCGTCTATCAAAACAGCCGGTTTTCTGCGCAATTTTTTTGAAGCTATCGTGGCACTTGGGCCCCAGAAGCTTTTTGATAAAGTCAACGTGGGACATTGACTTTCTTAGCCTACGCGTTTGTTGTGCGTGACGGCTACAATGGATGAAGTGGCTTGGAGTAGTTTCCTTCCCGCAAGAGCACTCCATAGGAGCGTGTGGATTATTAAAACGGCGATGGTATGCCGCAAAATTGCCGTGACCCGTTCGTGCTGCAATTAGTTCGCGGAGCAGGTGCCTAGAGAGATACAGTTCGGGTGGTTTGCGTCGCCGCACCTGTAGGTTGAGTTGGCGGTATTTAGGCGGACAGAAAGTCTGACCTGTGAATGGCGAATTTTTGTTTTGTTTTGTTCTTTTTTTTTTAAATCATTTAATGTGTATTCAGATATCTGGCTAGGACGCATGAACGGTGCTATGTATAAATGTGGGATGACTCTTTTGACGTTAGGGACACTCATACTCTGTCTTTCATTCGCAAATACCACTATGAGTTATGCTTGCTTACAAACAGTCTACCCTCCTCCGCGAGTACCCACCAAAGAGATGTTTCAAAACCTTTGATTATCCAAGCATGCCTTTGTCATCCATGCATACCAGCGCCGCGAAAAATGTGGTTGTGTTTTGCCGGATTTGAGCCAGCGATCTATTGTCTCGGGTGGGATATGTGTCCAAGCTACCCAGATTCTACTTTGAAGACCGTCATAGACGATGTACCACCGCACCATCAAACTATGACAGTTTTTATAGTGTCGCCTTCACTCTCGCAGCCGAAGACTTGGCACGCACAAAGCTCAATTTGTAAAAATTCCTTTCCAAAACTTAAAATCCCGCGCCCGTCGAGACTGTGTCCATCCTCTGCATCATCTTGTCAACTTGTCCTGATCCCTCTCACGTCCATCTCAAGGAATTGTTGTTGGATAGGCTGTGCCTCGGTATCTGATCAGATAACAATGTACGTTGGGATAAAGATGTTCTTGTCTAAACTACAATAGTGATACATGTATGATAAACTTACACGAGGCTGACTATTTAGCCATGTACCCTTAAATTGAGCGAAGACCTCATCACAATGTTACTTCCACACGAAATACTAAAACTACTAAGTTGTCGGAGAGTAACCTGTGTAATGACAAACAATAATTGTCTTCCAGATTTGTGCGCCACGCTTTGCTTCCTCCGTTGGGTGTAAATATCGGCGTGGGCGTGTATCTGGCGACCGGCTGAGGCCAGAGAAAGTCGACAAGAGGTGTGGTTATTGGTATGAGGATGTACTAGGTCGTACTTGTAGACTTGATGAAGCTTAGTTGAGAATCGGACCCTTTGGGAGTAAAAATTGATGTGATGGAGTATTTTGGATCATTGCCTCGTGGGACAACTTGTTCGGTATTGCGAGATTTGACTGAACTTGGCACTGGGAGAATATTTTACTCCCAGGTTCGTAGAGGACACCGCGTACAGGTGTTCAGTCTTGCCCTCCACCTCAGACTTCACCTATGTATTGAATCATACCAAGCCTAACCGTCCAGAAACCCGCTGTATACACGCCGTAGCGCAATTTCCTCAGCCTCGGCCACCACGCGCCCGAGCCTTTGACATCCTCATTGACTCCGTAATATAAAATGCCGTCCAAGATCTCCTCGTTGCTCTAGCCTTGCACCTTCATATCGTACCGTTGGGTTTTTTTCGTCATTGGAGATTTGTGTAATCCCCTCGGCGTATCTTACCTTTTCTTCCTCCTTTGTACACGTCCTGTTTCCATCATAACTTTCCACATTAGGCCGTGTGTAGGTAGGTGATGTGACGAGTATGGAGGTGGGTCGCAGGTATAGGATCGACTGAGAAATGCTTCGTCGCGAACATAAAAGGAATTTGAGAGAAGTCGGATGTTTTAATACGACCCCCAGACAGATCTAAATCCATTCGTGTTGGAAATTCAGACTCTATATGTCTGAAGTTTCCTCATGATTGGAACAACTAAGATTCTTACACTTGACTCACAGCCTGACTCATGACCTAGATGATTGATATCTCCTTTACGCATGTTTGATGCTTGAGACTCGACTAGTGTATGGTATGGTCTGATACACGTGTAGGCTTTCATCCATCGACCCTTACCCCATACACATTTTGTATACTGTCGTGCGATTCATTGTCATTGTTAGAGCATGGAACGAGTGATGGATGGTATCTAGCTTGGATTTGTCCTATCAAGATTACATGTATATAAGCTTTCTAGGAATCACCAAGGCAGATAATCTAATCAATTCAATTCAATTTCATTCAACCCATCTTTTACTTCTCCATAGTATATCACATATTCTCCCGATTCATATCATTATTATTCGATTCATAAAATCGCGCCCATATTCTTTGAGCCACTTTACTCATCGAACCCATACCGATTTTCCAACAATTCGTGAATCGTATGTTAGTGGTGATGAGTTCTTGTTCAACTTTTTTCCGGCTGTGAAATCTCTGCCGACTGATTTTCGACCAAAATATCGATTGCAACTCCTTCAAGTCGACAATCCATCAAATAAAATCCATTCCACCCTTTTTGGTGACTGAATCTCGGCTCTGGGAGAATATTTCGCTCCCAGGTTCGAAGAGGGCAACACTGACAGGTGTTCAGCCTTCGTCCTCCTGTAAAGGGCGAAGTGTATGTAATTAAATTAAAAGATAGCTTACCAAAAACAACTTAGTCCCTATTTCTTTCAGAATTCCAGGACTATATACACTGATCATGATTGCCTTGATCTCTAATTTTACACATGCGCTAGGAACATATAACCCGCGGTTCCAAATACAGAATACAAGCACTGACCTAAGCAAACAATCAACGTGTGTATGGACAGTCTCTATTTTTGACCAGAGACACTTCCCTACGCAAATTCTCCGGTGGTTATACTTAGCCTTCGACACCCAGCCTAGATGGAAAGCTTACAGAAGATCCCGATGTATATAGATGCCGTTAGACATTTATTGGGGAATCATTATTCTTGACTTTGAGTGATGATATGGGATAACGATTGCTAATAGCACGATTTCACATTATCTTCATGTGGAATTTTAATTGGATTATGATTCCTCTAGACGGCTGGTACGGTAGTTCTAGAGGTGAATTTGATAAAGTATAGGATTAAATAAGCTTTTTTTAATCCATTTTATTGTCCTGTCTGAGTCAATGACTATGTAGGACATGCAGGTCCTCTTTGCCTACAGGCCAAGGATACCTATGCCAGTAGTATATCCCCTCATATGCCTCCCATATAGCTCCCCTCAAACAGTAACACCCCTCACAAATCCTCATTCGATCATACACTAAGAGGAGCCCTTAGCCCTTTATTATCTCCCCTCTCTAGCCAACGAAACAATGGCCATTTGCGGGTTTATGGCAGCCAGAAAAAATCGCAAAAAACTACTGGGTGCGGGGCTCTCCTAATACCGACATTAGGACTAAATCCGAAGACATAGCGACCCTTCCGAAGCGTTCGAAGAGGCCGGCCAGCTGGGCGCTGCAGACTTGTGTGTACCTCGGGAAATTCACCCTCTGCCTTTCTAATCTCCTTCCCGAAGGTCGTGCTGGAATGTCAGAAAAGTCTTGACAGAGCATGACTGCTGTATAGTAGCTTAGTCAAACTTCTTTTGTGCCGTTGACTCATCAATAATTGAAGTCCTCTTGGCTAATTAGCCGAGATCTCGGTCTTGGGGCCCACAAACGTTCCAAAGTTGAAAACCACTCGACAATGTCAGTCCTGGCATGGTCTTCAGAGACCTGTTCCACCTATCGCTCCTCATCTCAGCCGCCTGTTCTTTCTCAAGATGTATAACCCCATTAGAGCATCAGTCCCCCAAAAACCAAGTTCTGAATTTTGTGTATTATGACTTAATTTCCTCCTTGCGGGTATAGAAAGCTTCGCAAATTTGTAGTGAGAGATGTCCGGTAGTGAATGAGACGAGCTCCTGTTTGCAACTAGTGTGCCGCCTTTATTGTTCGTTGAGGCGAGATGTTGTGTGGCTAGAAAGAGGTTGAGGACTCAGATGATGATGGTGAGTGCTGCATGATTGAGAAATGGTCAGATAGAGATATGCTTGAGGTTGTTTGCGATCTTAGCGAAGGAAAGTTGAACGAAAATCTCTGCTTACAAATATCACCGTCACTCCGGTGTAAACATGGGTTCGATTTATTCGGAAATTAGACGGAAGCTAGACCTACTTTAAATGTGACTAAGCATATTTTCACTGGATACAACAGTCCATTTTTCTGCTCCACAAATCATTAATATCTTCACAACATTTTGCTCAACTAAGTAGCTTACTTCTAGCATGCACAAGCAGCTATCCAAATGTAAAAATATAAAGCAGCTACCCTTTTTTTACAACTTATGGAGTAATTTTTGGGCATCCTAAAAGTCGCCCACTTACCAAATTAGAACAAGCGTAACTTATCAGTTGTATTTCTTTCACTGAGATTACGGCATACTTCGGCACCTTTACTTCGACGGTACGTTTTTCTAGCAGATAATATTTCTCCATCAAAATTTTTGATCCAGGGTTCAATGAAAGAAAGTAAACATTGGTATCCACTAGTGCAGACAAAATTATTATAATGAACGTTCCAAAGTCACTAGTTTACGCGGAATTGCTCTCAAACATTAAACAGGTGTCAATACTGGCATCTCTAACCTCTCCATGCGACGTAAACACTAAGGTTAAGCTATTAGACGATGGACAAAAACTGACTCTGATTCATTGTGGGCAAGTGCAGGTTTTCTCACTTCCTCATAAAGTCTACCCCAATTTTAATTTTCAGGTCTCATCAAAAATCGGATCTCAAGAATTATCCTGGCGTCTACCTCTGATTGATCAATCCTTAAATCAAGCTCGCCAGGATACCTTTTGCTCTGAGGTTCCTTGGTCTGCAAAAGCATTGGAATCTCGAACAGAATTAAGGTGTCGCAGTTGCAATGAGGTTATCGTGAAGGAAGGAAAAATTTACTCCTGGAAAGACTTGCCAAGCGAGAATTGGGCAGAGATGATGGACTTCTGGCATTGTCACAAGCCGGATGATGTTCAAAGTCATCATGTCTTAGGTGATGATTGTACTGGAAGTCAGGAGAATCCAACCTCGATACACATGAAGATGACTGAGCGTGGATATGGTGCTAACAACAGCATTTCTGCCCAGCACGGAGTAGGCTTTGTTGATATTTCTACCTTCCTCATAACAGAAGAAGACTGTGTCAACATAAAGGTCCAAAAGGTATAATGCCCATCTCTGATAATCTCTCCCCACAGCTTCTACACATCCTCTCGAAAGGGCATTAAGAAAGTGACCCAGCCTTTAACTAAATGTATTCAATGGCTGATCAACGATACAAATGCCCGATATCAAAAGCAATGTCCGTTTTTTCAAGGAAAAATTCAGTGCCTACCTCTCTCTTTTGATTGTGGGTTACTAACGCACGTGGACTCGTTCTCAAAATTTCACTCCACGTATCTCTAGAGTTTCTGGAGACTCGTGGGATTTAATTCGAGAAACATACTAGCATAAAATTATGTAGAAATTTAATCACGTTTTTTCCTTCTACACAATGAGATTAAGTAATTTTCACAAATAGACTCAAAGGGACTCAAATCACCTATCTTTTATGCTAACTTTTTGCAGTTCTGCTTTGATGCTAATCAAAATCAGCTTGTTGGGTGTCTTCAATGTCAAAATGAGGTAGGGACCTATCACTCGGACTTGAATGGTATCAAATTCTGGAAATGGAAACTACGTCTTATTAGTCCATCACTCAGCGGGCGATTTGGGCAGGGGGGCTCTATAACAACAGTTCCTTCACCAACCTTAAGCTCCTGGGGATCGAAATTCTCGGCATCCACATTTGTGTCAGCTGAAATACTCTCCAAGATGTCATCACAGCTTGTTTCTAAATTTCTTCTCATGCCAATTGTCAAAGTTGAGTGCTCAACTTGCCTTTTACTTTGGGTATTCGGTGCTTCGATAAGATTCTCATCATCTGACTTTGCAAACCTTGACGGTGGTTCAGGCGGCGAAGGTCTTCCAGCGATTAAGGTCTTTTGGAAAGTAGTGCCAGAGAGTGATACCAACTTAATCAGTGATGCTGTAGGTATAGAAGACTTGTTTCTACCATTAGATGCAATCTTGGAGACAGAAAAAGTGCTAAAAGATAATGGAAAGTTAATTCCTCGGAATTCTCGAAAGTATCTTGACTGGAATGTGGGACTACTTGAGAGATATGAAGAAAAGAACTTAAATTAACTGATTTTATCTATCATCTATTTAAACTCTCTTACAGCCCAGATATACTATGAGTCTATGTGACTAAATAGTTTTGGTATTAGATAAGTTATATCCGGAGCTTAATATAATGGAGTCTGAGCTAAAAATGAATATCAACTGAATATTAATCTACGGCAAATTCAGATACATACACTTCGTCCGCCTTAAATTGTGCTATTTTGACCGTCAGGTTGGATACTGTGTCGAAAATTAGTTCAATTTGCTTCGCATTTAGCGTGGTATATCTCTCTGTTACTGAGTGATTGTCTTGATGACTCAGCCAATACCACGAATTAAACGTTCGCAATGTTTTTAGATTGAAAGAAGACATAATTTATACATCACTTTTATACCGTTTGTTTTGCATTGAACTAACCTTGCGTATACGTAAATAAAGGCCTACTGACAAACTAACTAATGTAGGTAATACAATTTTAGATGTTACATAGAAATTTCATCTGAAATAAGGAGCTCCAACAATTTTTCAAGCTAATTCTCAAGGAATTGATTTAAAAAGCGACACATGTTTTCATTTGATACATGAGTACATTAGTCACTCAACGGGCATGGCTGTAGAGCAAATTGAACATGTAGATAACCAGGTAAGTTTACCCTTTGAGTAGGCCATCCGTTCATCTTTAGATATCCATTTATCCCCAGAAAGTCTAAGTACATTCGCTCAAAACTAAAACATTAATGCTACATTCTTCTTTGTACTTACTCTCCAACGACAATCCTTACCCATTTAATCTCATAACTACAACAGTTGCATAGATGGATCAAGAATTCTCTATAGTTTTGCCACTATCTCACAGTCTAGTGCACTTGCAAAATAGGGATAAAAGTTATCATCCTCGTCTGTGGTTATCGGAATAGCTATTTTTTTTAAATCATTTAATGTGTATTCAGCTATAGAGCTATGACATATGACCGGTGCTATGTATAAATGTGGGATGACTCTTTTGACGTTAAAGACACTCATACTCTGTCTTTCATTCGCAAATACCACTATGAGGTATGCTTGCTTACACAAACAGTCAACCCTCCTCCGTAAGTACCCACCAAAGGGGTGTTTCAAAACCTTTGATTATCCAAGCATGCCTTTGTCATCCATGCATACCAGCGCCGCGAGAAATGTGTTTGAGTTTTGCTGGATTTGAACCAGCGATCTATTGTCTCGAGTGGGATATGTGTCCAAGCTAGCCAGACTCTACTTTGAAGACCGTCATAGACGATGTACCACCGCACCATCAAACTATGGGGGACTATTCTCAACACCTGTCAGTGGTGTCCCCTACGAACCTCCAGCTCTCACTGTAGAGTCTGCAGAGCCTAGATTGAGTAACAAAGGCCTCATTTCGAAGAGGATTCCCAATCGCTTTCGCGGTCTGTATCGTCTTCATCTCTCAACACATTCCCCTATCACCACTATCATGAAGCTAACCACGATCAGATCAGATGGTAGGGTCGGAGCCCTACTCGTCACCCACCCTTGATCATGGAGGAAAAGCCATCCGATGAGTTTCCGGAGCGTACCCAGCACCCGATACGGAGATGGTGGATTGGATCAAGTCGACCTCGACTGTTACAAAGAAGGGAGATATAGATGAATATGCGCACCTCATGTGGTCCCGGTGTCTAGGCCTCGCCTGGCTGGGGCTGCAGGGTTTTTAAGACTTTTTCCCGCGCACGCAGTTTCCATTGCTACCATTTTTATTTTTTTTGGGTAGAAGGTTCCGTGGAAAAGGTGGCTAAATTCCACGGGTAAATACTGAGCTGAATGGCTATTCATCAAGGGGAATATATCAATGAACTTTGAAGTAACAAAAGAGGATAGGAGCACTATACAAGGTGTGGCCTGGGTCAGAGAGGAGCCCAATGTGCTAAATAGTCATAGACTCAAGTAGTACAATAAAACACACACACACCAACAAACTATGGCAGTTTTTATAGTGTTGCCTTCACTCTCGCAGCCGAAGACTTGGCGCGCACAAAGCTCAATTTGTAAAAAGCTCTTGCCAAAATTCAAAATTTCACGCCCGTCGAGACTGTATCCATCCTCTGCATCATCTTATCAACTTGTCCTGATTCCTCTCACGTCCATCCCAAACAACTGTCTCCCAGATTTGTGCGCCACGCTTTGCTTCCTCCGTCGGGTTTAAATATCGGCGTGGGCGTGTATTTGGAGACCAGCTGAAGCCAGAGGGAGTCAAGAAGAGGTGTGAAAATTGATGTGGTGGAGTATTTTGGATCATTTCCTCGAGGGCCAAGTTGTTCGGTATTGCAAAATTTGACTGAACATGGCTCTGAAAGAATTTTCACTTCCAGGTTCGTAGAGGACACCACGTATAGGTGTTCAGTCTTGTCCTCCCTGTGTTAGCGTTGTTTACTGCTGCTAGTTGGAGATCCCGCACGGGCTATCTGGTGGGATCAAAGGGAGTCTGGTTGTTGTATTTGTTGTTTTATTAAGGTCCTAAGCTCAAGCTCTACGTCTGTCTGTGGGATACAGGACCGGCGGAGCCGGCAGGGATCTCAGTGTTCTTTTCCACAGCCCATTCTTTTTTTTTTTTTTTTTTTTTTTTTTTTTGCATCAGATTTTAATTGCGTATGCAGCTATCTAGCTATGACACAATATCAAAGAAAAGTACAGAATAGATGATTCAACGTAAAGGAAGAGCACTCATGCCTCGGATTTCATTTGCAGGTACCACTGCGAAGTTATGGTGGCTTTTTCTTCACCCCAAGTCAACCCTCATCCGTGAATACCCACCCAGGGGAACATCTCAAAAACCCTAAGTTATCCAGACATGCCTCCGTCATCCATCAGCTTTTCTCCGCGCGAAATGTAATCTGACCACAGCCCATTCATTCCAGCCGCGTGAATCGCTACCAAAATTGCAGCCGATTACGACAAAACCGAAAGCAAGAAAATATAAAAATATATAAATAAACAGCACAAAACCCCGAAGGTCAGAAGATTCCTCCACATTGAGCCCAAATAATGCGCTTCTCACACATCCCTTCGCCCGTCACACCTTCCAGACGACAACTTTTCCGATCTCTGCGGAGAGCAAGAGATGGGTTAGCGGGTACCATTGATACGGCCGGTCTCTGCTATTGGTTGACAATCGCCTATAGGGCGATATCGAGGTCGCCGTCTCAGACTTCTTCTCCGAACTCCAGAACTCCGAAGCCCGATACCCCCGCCATGGAGACGTCCTTGTTTGAAGCGATAATCGCCTCCTCTGCCCTTTTGGCTGCAGCTGTTGCTCGGGCTGCTTCTGAAAACCTCTCTTGCTCGACTTGCCGAATTACCGCAAGCTGCTCTTTCTTCGCCAGGCCGAATTTGTTAGGTCTGGCTTGGCAGTCGCGTGAGTCGGATTGGTGGGGTCCTCCACAATTTCGAAATCTAGTGGAGGCTTTGCACTCTTCTTCAGAGTGCATTGTTGAACCGCAATTACGACATTCCGGAGCGCGGGACCAACCGCGAGTGGTGTGGAAGGCGAAGTCGCGGTAGCACTGCTTGATTCTTTGCCGAGGCTGTAGCTTGGTAGCCAAACCAGACTCTTCAAGGATGCGGAAGCCCGCACGGGGGACGGAGTCCCGAGGGAAAAGAGCAGCCTAGTTGCGGTGTGGTGCACTAGGACGGTGCGTTCCATGTGGTCGCACATTTGCTGGCGGAAGCCCAGTGTGTTGGAGGATCTCGCTTGTGAACTTCCAGTCTGTGACTGTTACCGGGCCACGTTTAAGTATGATATTTTTGGGTACATTTGGTATCCGTAAGGAAACTAGATCCGAACCCTCTTCAACTTTGACGCTTATACTCTCTAGGGTCAGAGAGGCGTCCAGGATCTTCTGTCTCAATTCTTCATCGGCTGTCACGACCGCGAAACCATGTTATGAGACTGGGTTATGAGTAAATAGAGATATACCAGTACTATTGGTTGATCAAGCTAGTGTGCAAGCTGGTGTGCTGTTGGGGTCTATCTGTAGGTGAGTCGAGATTGCAGTAGATGAGAGATTAGGATGGTTGATTGATAACATCTACTTGCAGGGTTATTACTCTGTTATATACATGTCTCCCTCGCTCTTCCTCACTCTACATGACCACACCAGTCCTTCTCTAACTCCGACGGGGAATTCCTTGACTCAAAAGTATCCCTCATCAATTGTGTGCCACTGCATCCTAGACGTATATTCACGACACAGAACCTCCGACATATTATGTTCTCTAATGGTGGCTCCTTAACTCCATTGCGGCGCTTTTTTTTGAATCATATTGTTTTCAGCTATCTAGCTATGACAATTAGTACCATTGCAGCGCTTGTTGTTGCGTGGTAGCAGGGCATTCCAGGTATGAGACGTGTCCAGCACCACGCATCTGCCGTGAGCTGACACTACTGACTCAGATTCATGATATTCACGACTAACCGGTCCTGACTCGGTGTACAGAGTCAGTCATATATATGTTGCAACCGGTTTGCACCTGGATTGCTGTTCGTGCAGCCTCGGGAGATAATTTCCTCCAAGGGTGGTCGCTACCAAGGCGGATGAAAAGTTGTCTGTCGACTTTCGCCTTTGGGCTGTCTTTGGGGCTTTGGCCGCAGGCTGCGGTACAGCTTTTACTGAAGGAACAGGAGCCTGTTGTGTGTATCTATATGTGTTTACTTTCCTATGAAGTCTATGACTATGTAAGGACATGTAGGTCCTTTCTGCCTACAGGCCGGGAGTATCTATGCCTCGAGTTGTGTACTCCCTCCTATGCCTCCTTCACGACTTCTTTCCAGCAGTAATACCCTCACAGATCTTTATTTGAGTACACACTAAGAGGAGCCGTTACCCCATCATTATCTCCCCTCTCCAGCGAACGAAACGATGGCCATTTGCGGGTGTGTAGAAAGGAGTCTGGTACCTGTGTCTAGAAGAGTAATGGAATTGATATACTTTTATCCTTCATTATTGCACAAGCTTGCCTCTACCAACAAGTCCACAAAATAAATAGTGAGTTATCCATTTCAATACTTTAGTTTAGGGCCTATTGATTTTTTAAAAAAATCATTCCATTGCTACCTTTTTTTAATTTTTTAATTGGAGGGGGGAATAGAAGGTTCCGTGCAAAAAGAAGCTGAACTCCATATGTAACCACTGTGCAGTATGGCTATTCAATACAGGCCATATATCTATGATCTTTCAGGTAACAAAAGAGGATAAGAGCACTTAACAAGTCGTGGCCTGGGCCAGAAAGGAGCCTAATATGTTAGATAGTCATAGAATCAAGTAGCACAATAAATCCACACACGACCTACTCCTCTTCCTCCTCAATGCCACATACACATCTTACACTAGTTTCAGCAGAGATTATCTTCCCTCTGTTTTCACACATTGCACAATAAAACCTTTTAACGTGATTGAGAGGGAAGCATCTCAAGATAGAGTCTTGATCATCCTGATCACTATGTCCTGGGCGAGACATCAAAGCCTGAGGTGAATCATCCGAGAGAATGTATCGACCAAATACTAAGTGCTTCTCATCACTAAATTTGATAGGTTCAAAATATACATTATTTTATGTTATTAAAATAGAAATTAATACAAATTGTCGGCTGGTTTCTGAAAATATGCCAAGTACATGGAAAGATTGGTTACCACTTTTTATATTTTTACATAGAAAATTTCTGTTTAAAATTCCGCCAGTCATGAACTAGGATCAAGATCCCAAATTGTGTCCACGCCAACTAGTACGAAAAGCCCTGATTGCTGCAGCAATCAGAGCATGTGTCTACTTCTCCCTTTATTAGTCTACATCTCATATTTATTAACAGGATTGTTTCATTTGCCATATGGCTGTCTTTGCGCGCTCCCGCACACTTAATTCTACATCATTCTCCAACATTTCTAATTTGTTTAAAAATCCTAATTTTATCAATTCACTTGCTCGTTGAGCACAAAAATGTTCGTCTGCTTCATCATCCACCCAAGTTAAGTTAGTCACGAGGCAGCAGAGGACCAGGCGAACCTCAATAGTTGAATGATTGAATTGAGGCACAAGTAGTTTCAATAGCTCACTTTGAGAAATAACAAGTTGTCGATGTCTTGGTATACTAGCTGCCATATGAACCAAGATGTATCCAACTGCAATAATGATTTCTGGCTGTGGTGGTATAACCTTTGACTCTCTTAGCCCCGATGCTTTTCTGCTGTAGGGATTGACTGCTCTAGGTCTAAGTTTCGAGGATAGTATCTCAAACATACGATCTTGACCTAATGCATCAAAGAGGAAGTCGATCATCTCTGTAGTTTCAGTACCTGTATGCCCTACACCACCAATCATGTTTCGTATAAAGTCGAGCCCCTGTTCTTGTACCGCAACGTCGTCTCTGCGCGCCCTGCGGCTTGGGTCTAGCTCTGTGTCTCGTAGGGCCATAATTCTACGTTCTGCCAATTGACTTAGTCTGCTATGATCCAAGCTAGGCGATTCAATACTTGATTGGCAATCTGAGGTCCCAAAAGCCGTATCTATTTGCTCTTCAAACTGACCCATATCTGTATCTTCGTCCATGCTATCTATAGAAGTACTTGTTTTCTCTGATTTTGATTTCGAAGAGTGAAGGGCCATATCTTCGATATCATCGCATATAAGATGTACGAGCCATGCTTGCCCGAGCTCTTCGAAACATTGTCTCTTCATATCATTATTTACACCTTGTACGAAATGTTTTAATGCCCAAACAGCATTTAGTCGAAGTCTAGGATCAATAGATTTTGCATGTTTGCATAGAATCTGAAGGACACCAGCTTTCCTGATAGTCTAAGTTATAGATATCAGCTTGGATGGGATAGCAAACAAGAATACAAATAAGAGCTTACTTCGCGCATGGGGCTGACATCAGTTAGCAGATTTATGACAGTTGCCGTAGCAGCAATTTGAACCTCAATATCAGGGTGTTGCAAGAGTCGAAATACAGGTTCAGCTACCCCATTATCTATTAGAGTTGTGCGTAACACACTTACAGAGCGAGAAAGTGCACGAACTGTTCCGCAGGCTGCGATTAAAACTTTTACTGGATTTTTGCCATAGCAATCGTCAATTGTTTTATCATTTGTCTCTTTTTCAATCTTATCTACTTTCCCATTAAAGCTTTGTGAGGGATTGCCGGCGCTAGGAGACATAGATTCAACTATATATGGCATTAAGCCTTGATCGACTACACTTTTTCGATATTCGTCCTTAAATGGTACCAAAGCCGCTATAGCCCTTAGGGTGCTTTCCCTGACTTTGATTTTGTGAGCTAAAAGCGGACATTGAATTTCGCTCCTGAGTCGGTTGGCTTTGAATTCATCATCTTCATTATCCTCGCTAGCATGGGGATACCAAGTAAGAAAAATATTTGACTTAGAAACTGGTTCGTATGAAGACCTCAATAAACTTGAAAACTTAGCAATAACACCTGCATCGAAAGCAGATTTTTGGAGATGTTCGCTATCTGTAATAAACATTGCCAATACAGAAGGTGATGTCTCTTTAATAACCCTATCAACTTTCGTAAGTTCTACCGACTCTAAGGACTCCTTTTCAGTGTTGACAATGGGAGACTCCCCCATCATTTGCGCAAGCACAGGCACAATTGTTAAACCTATGTCTATCTCTCTTTTTGTGTGAGTTAAACCGACTCGATGCAAGACAGCTAATATCGCTGACGACATTAGTCGCTCAAGGTGGGACCTCATTCTGATCATCATTATAAGGAAGGGGATTATGGGGCTCTCATATTCTTCAAATCTACTAGATATCGCAGTGTGTGTGGCTGGATTAATTTCTTTATCTCCCCAAGTATGGAGTGAAGAGGACTTTGATTTATTGGCAGTGGTTCGCCCGTTTTGGCTCAAATCATCATAGCATCTAATGCCGCTAAAATGAGGATATGCGGATGTACTTGGACTCGAGGATTTAGGCTGGTGATATGGCATTAAAGGAAGTAGACAGTCTATCCTGCTTGCTGGTCCTGGTCGAGTTTTGAGCCCAGACGTACTAGATGTATTGCAAGGTAATGACTCCTTAGACATTTCGAATGGATCGCTCAATTGGGGTATAGGAAATAAAGCAAGAATGGAGGGTGAATAGATGAACTGCGAGGATCTTAATTTGGAGTGTGAAATGATGACATAAATTGCTTCTAAAATGCCAGCTAGGTCGATCTTAAGAGACTTAGTCTCCTGAATTTTTTCTTTGACATTCCCTTGTGGAGATATGTAGCCTATTTCTGAAGGAATAAGCTCTGCGCTAATGATATAGCTGGCAAATTTCGTTGCTAAAGCATTGAGTATTCCAGAGTTGGCAAGGTTCTGCTGATGACGGTCTTCGCAGCATATACGACTAATTAAGGATGCTGTAATTGATATCTGTGTTGCAATAAGAGCTGAGGACGAGGTTTGTGATAAAATTTGACATAGGGATGCAAGATGCTGTCTAGAGAAGAGTCCTTCCGCAACGGTACTGGTGTTCAGGGCCTTTGGATCTGATGAGAGCACAATAGAGTCTACAAGATTAGATAGGGCTCTCAGAGAGGCTAAAACGAGTTGAGGTGTATTTTTGATTGGGCAAATATTCGAAAGAATCGCTGGAAAGACATTTGCAGATTGTAGGAAGCTAAGGAAGCGTGGTCCCTCTGCTCTACATCTTAGTCTTGTCTTCTCCAAACTTTAGGGACTTTGATACTAACCAAAAGCGATGCTTGCTATTATCTGTAACCCCTGGAGTCTACAAGTTTCACACTCATCGAGTATTACTACGACTGGACTATTATTGGAAAGGTTGGTCTCCTGCTTCGTGTGCGATTGATTTAATACGATTTGTGATATAGGATGTAAAGCTCCTTGAACTACAATAGATTCTTTTTTAATTGGGTGTCCTATTATGTTAGTCTTCAGACTTTGAAGAATGATTATTTGCTCTGCAATACTACGAGCATTCTGAAGCTCTACAGTCCATAGTCGATTGGTCATTATGCAATGAACACTAACGAAGTGTGCGTATGGATGTAAAGGTGTAGGGAATTAGCTTAATTAAGCTTATCATTGAATGTATTTTGATAATACTGAAGTTCAACCCATAAATAAACTTTGAAGTTTACTTGATTCATATAAGGCAGGCGCTTTTAATCGTAGGTATTGTACCACTTCTGCTGCGCGCAACTGCGTACAAAACGAAGCTACTTGCTGCACTGCTAACACGAGGCACAGTGTCAGCCTCACACAGTCTATCTAAGGATCTCAGCCTTGTCAAATTTAAAGGGCGTCACGTCTTGTAAAATATTCAACAACTTTCTTTCCACACACTCATCTGTAGTCCTTCTTTTATTGCAGCCTATCAATACATTTTCCTATTAAGTTTTATAAAATCATTTGTGTATCCGCATCACCTTAAGGCCATTCGCTAGGCCTTCTGGCAACTATGATAAACTCGAGTTTAGTAGACAGAACCCGCTTTCACCTTCTTGTTATCTAAACCCACAACCGAAACTTACAAGATACGAAAAATCTGGTCTCTAGCACTAGTAGTTTTATGACAAACATCGTGAGATTTGAGACTATAAATATTTATCGCATACATTAATTTCAGCTTCTGGATTAGCCACAGGTCTGGCTGCAACACCGCACTTAAGTCATTTAGTCACAATGAGTCTAGTATTGAGAAAATTCTGATGACGAGTTGATGGCATCAGCTATCTAGAAGCAGACTTCTCCCTCAAAACAATGTGCCTATATTCGAACAATCAATCTACCAAACCCAACAATTCACCTTTAGAGGTTAAAATGAGAGAGAGTCCAGTTGTAGAATCTACATCCCCTGAGATAATCAGCCACGTTGACGCGGCCACCCAGTGGAAGATAGACTCCGAGTCAATGAGTACCTTCCATGCAAAGAAATTGTGTGCATCAGGGGAAATAACAGCCGCTACAGCAGTTTTAGCCTCAAAAATACCCAATGCGACCCGAACTACCCCAGTAGCAGACAATCTGTCGCAATTAGTGGTAATAAAACGTCAAACTTCACAAATACCTCATGTCTCGCCGCTCGCCTCGGATGACAGCCAACTATCTAAGCGGATGAAGACAGAAACCAAGTCTTTCAAAGCCTTACCGTTAAACTATGAGTTCTGTCCTGTCAAAGACATGGTGATCTTAATTTCAAATATGATACAAGAGCTCATTCATACCAATGATAATTTACCGCTTCGTCCTGGTGTCCTAACCCGTTTTCACTCGAGGTAGATACTTCTTGCTTTACCAGTTTCTTTCAAAAATTTGGATTAATTTGGCACTAGAACTCCTCCAGCAATATCGGTTGCCGAATATTTACAGCGATTAGCAAAGCACGCAACGCTCACGCCTCCTTTACTGCTTTCAATGGTGTACTACATTGATCAATTGTGCTTACTTTACCCACCCTTTACAATTAACAGTCTTACTGTCCATCGCTTCTTGATAACGGCTGGTACTGTTGCAGCCAAAGGCTTATCTGATTCATTTTGGAATAATGCTACATATGCTCGCGTTGGGGGTATCAAGGTTGCTGAGCTCGGGTTACTGGAGCTAGATTTTTTATATCGATTGGATTGGAAGATAGTTCCAAACCCTGAGGCTCTAGTAAATTATTATCAGGGATTGATAGCACGGAATCCTAGTTACAGACTCAAGGAAGATGAAAAGTCTTCAGTGTGTGACGAAGATGGCAACCAGATTGAGGAACCCATAGACGATCCGTCGAGGTTGGAAGGAGACAACAATAAGAAGTGGAAGGCCTGGATGGATGATGTACTAACACAAAGGAAAAGCGATGGAATAGACGCTCAAGAAATAGAAAATACCCAGAAAGTACTAGATAGCTTATGAAAGATACCCAAGTTTTCATTTTAGTTAGCATCTAGATGGAGTGACTGGGTTATGTCACATTTTCACCTTCAAAATCATACTTCAAATCTATATGGTTAAACACCTTCCTACTGAAGTGGCATCAATAAGAAATTGCTATGAAGATACATTTTGCAGTGAGTAAATGTGGGGGAGGAACGATCCCTGTACCGTGCGTTCTCCAACCTGCTACCACTTTTAAGCCAGGTTGTCTGAGGACCACTCAAAGTATGAAGCACACGCATTTACAATAAGATCAGAAATGCAACTATTTAACCTAGTTTTTGCTATTAGCTTTTTTATATTTGTGGAATCATCGGTTGAGCCTAAGATAACGTCAAAAGTCTTCGTGCAGCCCATATGTTCGATTCCACCACAGCCTGAAGAAGTCGCTAACGTTGTCATCCAATTACCTTTTCTCGAAGCAGAAATTTCATCTTATGAAATTCCCGATTTATCATCGCTCACATGCAAGGAAAATTTGGAGGAAGCAAAGCATCTACGTGTTGGTATTTATGACCCTTTGACTGCGACATGGACATCATCTACAACGATCACCTCAGCTGTAACGTTTGCGAAAGGCTACTCCCCTATTATTGTTCTCAGCTTGAACAAGGATGTTAAGGTCGTCAGTGTTAGCATCAAAAGCCATAAAATTGATGCCGGACAAACTCGGAACTTTGGACCGAAATTAAGAGTTATGAGTATGAAGGGCGGAGTAAGGCCTACTCTATTGAAGCCTGTTATCTTGAAAGAAGGACAAAGTGAGGACACTCTCCCGGAAAAGAGCTTTCTACAAAGGTAGGGTTTACATATCTTTTACCTGTTTATGGCTAAAATTATTAGGTATTGGTGGGTGCTCCTTGCAGGCGTGATTCTCGCGATGTCTGCCGGTGGTTCTGAATAATTAAAAAATAAATTTATATTTGGCACGTTACAGTGGTTATCAATTCTGGATCGTATTTTAAACTAAATTTTAATTTCAATGATTTCTGCCTCATGGCGAATCCTCCTATCATTTTAATCTTCACCCGGTGATGGTTGAAACACAATTATGACAGGTACTTGCCACCCACACATTGTATCCTCAGGGACTATTCTCAGCACCTGTCAGTGGTGTCCCCTACGAACCTCCAGCTCTCACTGTAGAGTCTGCAGAACCGAGATTGAGAAACAAAGTCCTCACTTCGACGAGGATTCCAAATCGCTTTCGCGGTCTGTATCGTCTTCATCTCTCAACACATCCCCCTATCACCATTATCATGAAGCTAACCACGATCAGATCAGATGGTAGGGTCGGAGCCCTACTCGTCACCCACCCTTGATCATGGAGGAAAAGCCATCCGATGAGTTTCCGGAGCGTACCCAGCACCCGATACGGAGATGGTGGATTGGATCAAGTCGACCTCGACTGTTACAAAGAAGGGAGATATAGATGAATATGCGCACCTTATGTGGTCCCGGTGTCTAGGCCTTGCCTGGCTGGGGCTGCAGGGTTTTTAAGACTTTTTCCCGCGCACGCAGTTCCCATTGCTACCATTTTTATTTTTTTGAGTCGAAGGTTCCGTGGAAAAGGTTGCCGAATTCCACGGGTAAACACTGAGATGAATGGCTATTCACAAAGGGCAATATATCAATGATGTTTCAAGAAACATTAGAGGCAAGAAGCACTATGCAAGGTGTGGCCTGGGCTAGAGAGAAACCCGATTGTGCTAGATAGTCATAAACTCAAGTAGCACAATAAACACATACGAAAACACAAACACACACACAATTTTTTGAAATTCGGATATTCGAATATTCACCCTTTCCCCCTCTCCCTCCCTCTCGCGTTCGTCGCATTCCTTCAATAAATTGTAATCAAGTCACTGGCATTTTCATCATGCCACCTGTTCGAAAAAAGCTCCCCAACTCAATGTTGGACAACGCGAGAGTCCGCCCGAGGGCTCCTGCAAAAACACCTGGCCTCGCGCAAAAACTGTCAAGCTTATTTGCGAGTGAGGCCTTTATCCCTGGGAAGTCTTCCACACTTCCCGATCAAGAGATGACTGATTCTGAGCACGTCAGGTCAATGAAAATTGGTCTCAAGGCCAAAATTCCCATCGAGCTTGCAGTCCTTCATAGTCACAGACTCAGTAGGGACCCAAATAAAATTATATTCTATTCCCATCAAGCTTGCCCCCGAGGCAAGCAGTTCAAGGAAAGGAAAGGAAGTCGTCCGAGAGAAGACGACAGAACAAGCAGAAACATCTGCAAGAAAACTCACTGTGCCAACTCCAAAAGGCACAGCTTCGACATCAGCACCGGAATATCCTCCGGAGCTGTAATCAGTGATAGAAGCCGAGAAGCGTTGCACGACGCAAATAAAAGTACGTCTATCAATCTGTTCCACTGCAATAAGCAATGTTGAAGCATCACTCTCGCCTCTTTCGATCGGCGAGAATAAAGAATTCGTAGATGGCATAAAAGTCTACCTTCGAGCGGCCATTAGCCAGTTCATACAATCAGGCCCAGGGAGCACTCCATCAGCTCTCCCTGTGCGCCCCAGCAACCCTCCTTCGCCGAGGGCTCCAGAAATTAGGGCTCAAAACCCTTCGACAACCCAGGCTCCGGCAACAAAGACGACTTGGGCCACAGTAGCCCGTGCAGGTCTAGGCCGCAGCGCCGGGCCGTCGACTACAAAGGCAGCACCGCCCGCCCCAAAAGCAAAAAGTGCCAATCCGAGGACAAAAGTCGACACGAGACTTTTTCTACGCCTCAAAGTTAACCACCCCCACCGACTCCTATCACCAGCTGGCGTAAGATTAGCTGTGTCACAGGTGCTTGGTACCGCTGCCGACGACATCACGTTGGTTCAGCGGGTCAAAACAGGCTTTGCACTGAGAGCAAAGAATGAACTCGCTCGGAAAGAGCTCCTAGATTCCTCCATGTCACGGGGCGAATCTGGAATCAAACTGGAACCAGCGTCAAATCTGGTCGCCTTGCAAATTGCCACCGTACCGGTGACAATAAACACACTTACAGGTCCCATACGAGAACTGGCAAGCCCTCTTTCCTCGCGAGTCCGCGCCCAGACCTGGATTCCGCCTCTTCGACGATTCTGGAGCTGCGAAGCTCTTCCGACCTCGTCACCAACTCGAACAGTACAAACGTTGTCTTGGCTATCACGCCAGCCGCGGATGCTCCCGCGCTCCAGCTTGCTGGAACTGCGTCTCAAACATGCACTCGGAAGTGGAGTGCAAGGCCCTCACACGATGTCGCAATTGTGGGGGACCTCACCGATCGGACTCTCGGCACTGCCAAGCCAGACCCAGAAAAGATGGATCGGTGACCAAGGAACAGCTCTCAGCAATTCGCAAAGTCAAGCAAGAAAGATATGAAAACTTTGCCCGTGTCAAAGATTCATACAAAAAGGACGAAGAGGCGAGGAACGCCTCTGCGGAGGACGCCTCCTTGGCGGAGGGATCGGGTTTCGGAATTCTGGAGACCGAAGAAGAAGATTGAGGACTCGGTAGTCCTTGGTGAAGTCTATAACAACTTTCACAACAAAAAGCAGGAAACCGACCGACAGCAAAGGTTACCTGAGTGCTCATCTTTTGCTCTCAGCAGAAATTAGGAAAAGTCACTCGGAATATGAGACAGGGAAGGAAACGGGCGAGAAGCGCGGGATCTGGATCATATATGAAATCCTTCTACATTATTATTATTTATTTTTAAATATTTTTTGGGGTTTTTTTGATATAAACTTTGATTTTAGTTTTGATTTAAGTTTTGTTGTTAACTTCATCTACCTTTGTTGAGGTTTACGCGGTTGGAATGAGTTGGGCCTCTACGTAGAGAACCCCACCGGCTCCACTAGACTTGTACCGATAGTGCACCTAGAGCTTTAGCTTTGGACTTTAAATAGAATTAAAAAAAAACAAACACACCCACAGTTTTTTTGAAATTCGAATATTCAATTATTCCTATTTTCTCTCTCTCTCTCCATTTTGCGCTCGTCGCATACATCAGAAAATTGTGATCTCAGTGACAAGCCCCTGATCTTCGGAATGGCACTGGGGCAACCCAAAAAAATCGCGTAAGGATCGTATTATCGACGCCCTCGGAAGAGCGCACAAGAAAGTGATCAAACGTATGATCGATAAGAATTCGCCAGTAAAAAACATTGACTATGGAAAAATGGACATAGAGCTTATCGAGCGGATCCATGCCTTCGAAGAAAATACCAGCTCTAGCAATCCAGACATCGAAATGTCCGATAGCACAATCGACATTTTTATCCAAGAGGGCCTCAGTAGCTCTAGGTGGAACGTAGAAGACATGGAAGACAGCCAAGTCACAGTCATCCCCGCCAGCAGAACTAGAAAAATTGCAGTTCCTGCTAATAGGCGGGCAGTGATCGCGCAAACAAGTAAGGAAAAAGGCGCCGCATGTCCCAAAAATCCCTCTGAGGGTACATCAGGGATTACAGAGGAGAGCACCGCTTCTCGCAGCGAAAACAACCCCAAGCTGACAGAAGAATATCCCTCCGAACTTAGGACCTTAATCGAAGCCGAAGAACGCCGGACTGCTAATACAGCAGAAAATGTAAAGATCTGCACTGCTGCATAAAACGGTGTCGAAAATGCTCTCTCCCCCCATCCAAAAGGTCGAGTGTTCAATTTCTAGACTCTATGAATGTCTACATCAGAGCTGCAATAGCCCAATTCATGATATCGGGACCGGGTACAGTCCTCCCAGTACTTCCCTCGCGCCCTGAAACCCAGGCTACTGGCAGCAAGATTATAGAACGTGCCGCCAAAAAGCAAGACGAGCCACAAAGTAAATTGACTCATGACAAAGTCTCCAAAGCCAAAACTACTTGGGTCTCAATCACCCGGAATGGTCTAAAGACTCCCCCGGCACCGACAAAAGTCGCGCAGGCTATGCCAAAGGCGACACACTCGACGTGAACGTCAAAAAACCCAACCACCTCAAAGCAATCAGCCATCAAAGATGAACGCTTGTTTCTCCGCCTTGGAGAAAGCTATCACCGTTTGGGTTAAGAGAGGCTGTGGCGAAAATACTCGAAAATCATCAAGTCAACATTGAGCATGTATACCGTGTTCCAACTGGCTTTGCAATTAGAGCCGAAACTCAAGAATCACGCGCCATCATGTTAAGGCTAGCTGGGTCCCTCGTCCAGCAAGATGTGTTGAGATAGTACCGACAAATAACGGTCACGGTACCGAAGGTGCAAACCCATACCTAGCACTGCAACATGCACATCTACTGCTCGCCACCAAGATTCGGGCGCGGGAGCGCCCAGGTAAAAACTATACATCGAAGCGATCGGGGTAGCGACACCATCAGCCCCTGGAATATAAGTGCTAGCCGCAAGGGGTTGGGTACCACTCAGCGTATATGCAACAGCATCGAGTGTACAGGTGTATCTCGAGTGTCACTAAAGGAAACCAGTACGGTCGCCCCTGGATCAGCTATTCAGGGGCACTCAACTAGGGTACTGAGCTGCGATTATAGGAGCAGTGATGCGACTGGCAAGCGGAGGGTATACGAGAGCCGCAGGAGCAGCGATGGCCGCTCATGAACCGTGGATTCATGAGCACTGGATTAGTAATGTGATTACTATAGATAGTCAATCACGAGATGGAACTAAGACTATGACATGGGTCATACAGATGTATATAAGATAGCATATATTCATACTTCTGACAGTATCGAAATCTGTCGAACACATCCTCCACATACTCCAATCAGACATAACAAGTGACAAGTAACTATGTTCCCATATGACTCATAACCTTAACAAGATGCCATACTGGAAGAAGCATCGGACCTGGGCTCACTTAGAATCGCAATAGTCCCAGTTGCCTATAATACAGTAATGGGCAGAGTTATCGTCACAGA